GTGAGTCGATCGCCCTAACCACCTGGCCATGCCGGGCCTGGATATATTATAAATGTCTTCGTGTGGATATGTAGTAGTTTAGTATATTTTATGTGTCAGTAAGTGGGGTTTGCATGGCCGCATATGTGAGGTGTCCATTGGCATACATATGTGGAGTATGTTTTTTTTTATTAATTTATTATATGTTATCATGCAGTTAAAAACTTTAAAACGCTAAATAATTTCCACAGGTTATTTTCCCTTTTGAGTATTAAGTGCATGTTCAAAAATAAACTCCTCAATCATTATAATCTTATTGTTTGCCATTAGATGGCGTTTTAGTACATCTCGTGTGATATCAAGCGCAATGCTACACGACGGTTACTCTGTCAATCGCGGGAATCTAAACCCAATTTTTAGCATTATACGCCTTCTAACGTACCACTGATTCATCGGGGGCCGTTCTAATGAAACTCGACCTAAGTTCTTACATTTCGGCGGATATGACAAAATCATTTTCTAATTTGTTTGTTTGTTTGTAATTAAGCACAAAGCTACACAAAGGGCTATCTGTGCTCTGCCCACCACGGGTATCGAAAACCGATTTCTAGCGTTGTAAATCCGCAGACATACCGCTGTGAATACTTTGTTGGCAAAATTTTGGTGCTTCAGTAATAGCGTCTTTCTTATCCCTCGAAGGCGAATTTGACACTTCTAAACCCGTTTGATTGTTTTTCTTGTGTGTTATTCTTTCAGAATATATATATAAGTACATTTTTATACAGCGAAGCTATGCAATTATGTAATTAGACAGCATTCTATAAAATAATAAAATTATTCTAACATTATAGTTTATTTTTTAAGTATTTAGCGAATGTTTAAGTCATTTTAACTCACCATTTTGTAATCTAAATTAACTTAGGTATGTGAATAACATTGTGGCATTGCGCCAAACTTATCATTTAGTATTATACAGTGGACTAAATGTTTGACGATTATATTACAGACTTATTTTATTTTTGTTTGTTTGAATTTCGCGCAAAGCTACACGAGGACTATCTGCGCTAGCCGTCCCTAATTTAGCAGTGTAAGACTAGAAGGAAGGCAGCTAGTCATCACCACCCACCGCCAACTCTAGGGCTACTCTTTTACCAACGAATAGTGGGATTGACCGTAACATTATAACGCCCCCACGGCTGAAAGGGCGAGCATGTTTTGGTGGGACGGGGATTGTGAGTCGAGCTCCCAAACCACCTGGCCATGCCGGGCCAGTATTTATTTTTAACAACGAAGAGGCCTAATGCATTTTTTGATTTGCTATGCCTTAAAATGTGAACTGCAGTTTCGTCTATTCAAGGCTCCTCAGTACATACATAATAAATTCGGAGAAATTATAAAATGTTTATACTTAAATTACAATTACAATGGAATTCATAACCTAAACGGTACCTTATGCACAAAAGGGATAAACGGTTATGTCAGAGATCCCTAGGATTTAGGTATAGCTGTACTTAATTTTGAAGTAATGACAAGAGGAGAAGCTAGCCAGCCAGCAGCACTCGCTACCAGATGGGGTTGGTCCAGTTCTTTTAAACCAAATAATGGGATTGACTGTAACAATCTCGCAGCTGAATGTATTAAGTATGTTCAGTGGCATTACAGCTCGAACCACGGATCTATGATACACAGACCAAGCACAAAAACAGTCATTGATATATAAGGGAAAAACTAGAAACATTTCAAAGTTATATTAATTACATTTAAACGCATCCCGTAACAGTCATACCCAAAAATTTACATGTTTTATCTCCCTTACTATATCTTACAATTTATAAGGCTTTTATTAGATTACTTATTTAAATGTAGTACGTAATATATATATATATATAACCCCTTTTGAAATATCCATGTCACCGAAAAATCTACAGATGTATAACTTAAACTACGATATAAATTCATAATGTAACCAATCTAGCCTTTAAATAAATAAGCACAATAGATATACATAACATAGGTTTGAACATTAAACATCTCAATATTTGCCTTCAGAAAACGGTCTACTATTCTTCATGAACCCAAACGTTCGACGGTGAACGACCCCACAAAAAATCTATAAGAGTAAAACTCATTGACTCCTTTATATATACGACCACAATAATAACCCCATATTGCGTGCAATACATTTAAGTTCATATATTTATATGATTAGATTAGAAGTAAGTGCCATAGAAAAGTGTCATAAGAACGGAAAAAAAAAGGTTGATTACTTCTCGATTTTCAAAGTATATTGAGTTAAACGGGCAGTATATCTGGCAAGAACATTGTATATATATATATATGTAGTGCTTGTCCTTAAAAACTTAACTGATGTACATCATGTCTCTTCTTATTCCAGGAAGAATTATTAATTACTGAATCGGCTTTTAAAATATATAAACTATTTATACACTAAATTACTTGTGGGTCCAAATAGCATGTGAGTCACACAAAAATATTTAAACAACAATAGCATTAATACTACAATTAATTCTGCTAATTTTGCTGCTGGAGTCCTCCTATGTATTTTACTGAGAAATGACTGCACCTATATTTTTGTTAGTTCGTTACACTAAGTGCTGTAAAGGACAAATATATAAAATTACCCCACTCGTAGTGAACGGTTAAAAAAAAAAGGCATAATAATTTGAGGATTTAATTCCTTTAGTTCTCGTGTATAATTTTTGTTTTCATAATAATGGTTGTTATTTATTGTGTATTTTTTCTCGTTTTTTTTGTTGTTGTTTATAACAGTTAGCGTTCAGTGTTAAAACGTCCTGTATTAAGAAGAAACCAAAGGCATTATACATCGTTTTTTTTTAAAACCTGAATATCACTATATACGACACATGGGCCAAACTGGCAGATTGAAGATCACTAAGGTTCAGGCATAGCCATTGCTAGTCTAGAACTGCATAACATGCAGAGGGAGGACAATCAGATAGAAGTACCTGCGACTAATCTTAAGTGAAAAACTTCAGAGATAGGTACATTTATAACGCCCCCACAGCTGAAAATGATAACACAGTTCGCAGTATTTCGCGGCTCGATTCTTAGACCGTCCAATCTACAACCTGGCACGTTAATCACTAGATCACGCCCTAACATGTTATACATCTAAAAAAGAATGGCATCTAGAGTCATTTTCAGGGATTTTCATTCGTCCATCTATCTCTATCTATCGATTGCATTAAGCTTCCTTTTAAGGTTGTTTTTTTCTTCGTCCACACAAAAAAAGGTATTCCATAACAACAGTTGTGTATTAAATATAAAAAAAGGGCTCATGCATTATGTATAAAATTAACACGATAGTGGTTTTAATTCACAAATTAAGCTGTTCCTTTTGGATTCAACGTAACATGTGACAAAACGAGAGAGATAAGTCAGAATAAACGTTAAAATTCTGGTTATTTATATTTTAACTCACAATTTCCTAGGGACCAGTGATGTCCTCTTCCTAAGGATGATTCTTTTTAAAACACTTAAATGACTCATCTAATTGATGAAGCAAATAACGAATCACTAAATTAAAGTTCAATTTTATAGCATATGGAATTACTATTTCTTTTTATATTCTTCGGGTTAATTTTTGCAACAAACTCTGTTTCCTAAAATGTAAACAACTATTATTTATTATGTTTGTTGTTAAGTGGAAAGCTACACAACAGGCTATCTGAGCTGTGCCCACCACGGGTATCGAAACCTAGTTTTTGGCGGTATAAGACTTCAGACTTACCTCTGACCCATGGGGGAGGCATGAGTTATGAAAACTAAACACTGGGAAAGTTTATTCTAATATTTTCACTTTTATAGAATTAATTTTGGTTTAGTCTTCTTGAAAAGTTTAAAAAATCAATTATCTGTTACTGTAAACTTTTCAATAGTTACCGCTTATGGTGATGGAAAAGATCAGAATCTCTATTTCTCATGATGATGGAAGAGATCAGAGTCTCCATTACTCATGATGATGGAACAGATCAGAATCTCCATTCCTCATGATGATGGAACAGATCAGAGTCTCCATTCCTCATGATGATGGAACAGATCAGAATCTCCATTCCTCATGATGATGGAACAGATCAGAGTCTCCATTCCTCATGATGATGGAAGTGATCAGAGTCTCCATTCCTCATGATGATGGAAGTGATCAGAGTCTCCATTTCTCATGATGATGGAACAGATCAGAATCTCCATTCCTCATGATGATGGAACAGATCAGAGTCTCCATTCCTCATTATGATGGAAGAGATCAGAGTCTTCATTTCCTATGATGATGATGGAAGAGATCAAAGTCTCTATCCCTCAGTTATTTTTACGATAACATTAAAATTTATATCACTTACCAAAACACGTACCACCTAGACTCAAGGATACTTCGCATCTAATGAACATAATGGTTTTTTTATGTTAAAAGATATACTACTACATATCGCAAAAATATGTATCTTGACTGAAACAGCAGAGTTATCATTCATAATGACCTGCTTACTAAGTTTGCTTTTGTTACCTGGTTCAAGTTTCGACAATTTAATAAAAATGACTAACACAGAAGTAGGCCTAAAAGTTATCCAAACAGCTTGATACAGATTTCCATACGAACGGACAACTTTCGTCAGGAAAGTTTTCGAAAGATTATTTCAGAATCCCTAGATATTTTTATGAATGAAATTATAAAAGTGTCCGGAATATTTCAAAAGCCAGCCAGAAAAAAATGTTAGCCATAATATTGAGGCTTTTGTATCATTATTAGGCCGGATTTAACCTAGTGTTAGGGTTCACGATTTATGTCCCGTTGTTATATCTTAGAATCGGCCAATCTTTCGACAGACAGAAACTGAGCCGCATAGTTTTAAATAGATCACGCTCGAAAATATTTAAAATTACTTCACTGTGAGTACAAACAAGCAGGATGAAAACAACAGATACAATTTAATACGAAAGACGTTCGTTCATATGCTGGATCTGAGTAAACTGTGTATAATAATAGGCCGATATCTGTCTGCAGCTAGCCCATTTTGTGTTGCATGTTCTTATGACAGTTTTCGTGCAACACAATTAAAAATGGAAGCTCGGAGTACCTTGTTTGATATTTTTGCCTAAAGTTACACAAAGCCTCTCGTTCACTATCAAGCAGTTCACTGTTCCTGTTACCTTCATGTAAACATCTGCCCATATGCACATGGGTTACATTCTGCACATAGCCGTCCCTAATCCTGAACTGAATAACTAGAAGGAAAACAGTAACTTTCGCCGCTAACTTGTCTCACGGAATAGTTGGATTTGACCGTCACTCTTATAGCGCACCTGATGCCCGAAAGTACACAGTACGTTTTGGCAGCAACAGGATGAGATTCACGAACCTTTAGATTCACATTTCATGGTCACCAACCATTAAGAGTAACACTGCCTTTGAGCAACGACTGAAGTTAACGGAGAGGATTGAAAAATCTGTGCTTGTACAACAATAATGAAAAAAAACAACGTGTTTTGTGATGATCCAATCTTTTCTATCTTCTCGAGGACACTTCCGTACAAGTGACGTTTTTTAAAGCAGCTGAAGGAATTTGATTTTGTAACAATACAAGTCCTTTTATTGAATAGTTATGATGAAACTCATGGAACAATGGAAGAAATTAAGTGCTATATTACGAAATAATGTCTGTTGTCCACATCCTTAATATCATTGGTGTATGTTTGTTGATTGTAATCTGATAAAGTCAGTTTCTAGGAAATAAAATCTGGTTTCCTTCTGGACACTCCCAATAGATGTAATCGGTTTCACTAGAGAATGAAATAAGATTTTCTAACATAAAATTATTTATCTTCTGTATGTATATCACGTTGGAATTCTTAAACGTCTAACTAAAATGTCTTTTGAATATAACGAGTTCTGTGAAAGTAAAGCGTCACCACTCAACAACCGGCTCTAACTGCACGTGGTGAGTGGAAGGACAGGTGAGAGAGACACTTAAGACCCGAGGCTTCGTTCATAACCACGAAGCTTCTCGTTCACTATCAAGCAATTTACTGTTCCTGTTACCTTCATGTAAGCATCTGCCCATATACACATGGGTTACATTCTGCAGTGCAAGTTCTACTGCGCAGGTGTCTTTAGAGTGAACAAAAGCTGAGCATCTGTCTGTTCATTTCTTCTTACTCCCTCTGGCGGCGGATGTTAACTTTATTCTAGAGCATAATCATGATAATATATACAAGCTGAATTTCCCGTTTCCTGCACAGATGTTCAACTTACTTGAAATAGGTATTTAAAAACACAAATAAATTTCTTTTAAGAACATTTACTTAAAAAATTCAATTTTCATAACATTTTAATTTCTATCTAAACCTCGATTTTGAAAACAAAAATTATACAATCTATATTAAAGCTTCTTGACACATCACATTGGCTATTGTTTCTTCTTCTGATAATATAAACAGGTTTTGATGAGATCCAACCCTTGAACATCCTACATAAAATTTACCATGTTAAAAGCAAGGCTGCTTTAGGAACAAACCAACTACCTTTAAACTTTGACCTTGTTCCTTATTAGTTGACATTGCAAAACAAATTGTAACGGGAAATTGGAGCCTTCTAAATTCAACGAGGTAATCACTTGGTAGCAAAAGAATTCTTAGAATGAAGACATCTTCACTTTTGGCATGACCAATTGTAATTGTTGCTTCAATAACATGTGGCAGTAAAGCCTTACCAACTAATCCCGTGCCATTACATAATCTTGGATTTCTCAATAACATTATTGGTGAACCAACCTTTAATTTCAGAATGTGTCCTGGCATCCTTGGTGGTTCAAGAGAATTTAGGAATTCAGTAGGGTGATTTACAGCATCATCTGTAACTGGAACACTGTCAATTAATCTTTAGGTGAATCCCTGTCTAGGAACATTTTTGCAGTAATTGATCATCGATGTCATAAGCAGCATGATTTCGAAGTGCAAGAATTGCTCTTTTACACAACTATTCATAATTTTGATAATTCTAATAAATATTAGGGAACACCTTTTCCTTTAGCTCTTCTGCGTCCTTAACTAAGTTACCACATTTGTCTGGAATAATAATTGACTGATTCATTGAAATCTTTCCATCACCAATATTAAGAAGTAATTTTGAAAATTCACCAGCTTCACGTCACCACTTAAATACAGTCACATGTTTGTATTGGGGTCAATTTTTCAACATGCCTCCATATATATAAGATGACTTTATACATACATATACTTCATCAGCTCTTGTACCTCTTACAATGACTGGGAGAGTCTGTCTAAAATCACCTGATGTAAATAATGTGACACCACCAAATAACACATACTTTTCTCTGATATCTCTCAATGTTCTATCTAAAGCTTCAAATGCATTTTTATGAGCCATTGTGCATTAATCCCATATTATCATTTTACATTCTTTCAATATCCTTGGCTTTGCTGTCCTTTATTTATATCACCTACAGCCTGTTCAACACACACACACACATATATGTATGTGGAATATTAACAAGACATTTAACGTTCTTAGAGTCTGTTCTAATATTTCTAAACAAGAAACATGCTAGTTTCCTTCTAAAATTTCCTTATTTTAATCTGTATTAATGATTAGAATTACAATATATGAAGCTTTTTACTGAAAATCTTCGCGTAAGTAAATAGCAGACAATGCTGTTAAAGTTATACATACATATATTGTAATTGTGGTTTATTGATTTGTTATTTGTAATTAATATATTACAAAAGTTACTGAAGTATTGATATTATATGGCTGTGCGTATTATCATAAATACGGTTATCAGACATACATATATAAATACACGTGTGTGTGTGTGTGTCGTTTTATTTTATTTTTTGCTTGTTTTTCATTTTCGCATAGAGTTTTCTTCGCCACGGATTTGAACTCGAAACCTGTCACACGCTAGACGAGTACGCTATCAACAGATTTAAAGGCCTGGAATTTCTATCCACTGAAACTACTACAGGTGTGTTTTCTTCTTCGCCACGGATTTGAACTCGAAACCTGTCACACGCTAGACGAGTACGCTATCAACAGATTTAAAGGCCTGGAATTTCTATCCACTGAAACTACTACAGGTGTGTGTATTCTTTACTACAAGATTATCTGTATATATGTGTATAATCTATATTTATTTCTTATGCTATATTGATTCACGTTGTGTGTTTCAGAATTTGTTTGTTTTTGCCCGTGAACTCCTCCTCACTTCCCGATCTACCACAGGTAATAAAAAGCGCCCGAAAGGTCGTCCAGGCATGATGGGGATCTATGAGTAGGTTTTTCAGGGTGTCCTTAACGGGATAGCTGCAGAAGCAATTGGTGATAATGGAGGATCTTGATCGGCACGTTGGGGCATCTATAAATCGTGAGAGGGCCTTTGAACCCAGCGGAGCACGAATATTTTATGCTAGTATATATAAAGAATGGAACTACACGAGTCAGGTGTTGTCGTTAACGTCAATCTTCACCTACGTTTGCGAGTATCGAAGCAACGTTTTAAATGAATATATGGCGTTGTTTCGAACCAGCAAACCCGTCTTCGTAATTATTTTTTTTTTAATGAACAAAACGGGTCTTACTTATTTCTATGCCCCACTATGAGTCAGCGGTAAGTTTCCAGTCTGGCAATGCTAAAATCTAGGGTTCGATTCCCGCGGTGGACAGAGCGCAGATTGACCATTGTGTAGCTTTGCGCTAAAAAAAAACGACAGCAGTTACTTAAAAAGTAAATAGTATATAATTATATTATACATAAAAATATATTCTTCCTCTTTTGAAAATCCTACTATATTTATTTTCCGTATTATTGCGGGTGTAAAAAAAGATCCAAACTGGATGACAAAGATTTGAAATTGCTGAACAACAAACATATCTATATATATCAGTTAACCTACCTCAGTTTTGTCTATCCTATTTCAATCAGTGTATATGGTAAAGGAAACTTGGATATTACACTACGCAAGTTGCTGACCGGACATAATTGTAATTTTTAACAATGACTCTGAATGGAATTTTAACAGAAACAAAGAGTGACATTACAACGTTTCACCGAATTAACTCGTCTTTTCTAAGTTTGAAACGTTGCGTGGGCCACTTTTTATTTCTATTAAAATTCTGAAATTGTGACTGTAGGTTTGGTTTGTTTTGAATTTCGCGCAAAGCTACGCGAGGGCTATCTGCGCTAACTGTCCCTAATTTAACAGTGAAATACTAGAGATAAGATAGCTATTCATCAACACCCACCTCCAACTCTTGAGCTACTCTTTTACCAACGAATAGTGGGATTGACCGTCACATTATAACGCCCCCACGGTTGAAAGGGCGAGCATGTTTGGTGGGACGGGGATTCGAACCCGCGACCCTCAAATTTCGAGTCAAGCGCCCCAACCACCTGGCTTTGACCTGGCAGTGGGTGAACAAATATTATAACACTTTGTGATAATAGCTTGTAAAAACAGGGTTGTCCAAATCTGTGTTACTTGCAGGTCACACAGCAGTGTTAGTCGGGTCTCAAGGGTCAGACACTATTTAGCCCCGAAAAACCTTATCATGGCATTATGCAAGTTTATTGGTATTAAACGCCAGAGGGCCTTAAATTAAGTTGTAATTGTTAATTAATTTATTTATTGTCAACTTTATATTTTTCATTTATTTATTTTTAACTTTTGGCTGGTGGTTCGTGGGCTAGTCAGACCTGCCACTTAGAAGTCTTAAACGACCCAGATGTAAAACATACACCATTTTATTCTTTTATCTGTTGTAAAAGCAGCTCGAAAACTATTTGACAAATTTGAAAATGAAAAAAGGGTATACAATGAAATGAAAAAAAAAGTAAAGAAATTTACTAATTCATCATCAATTTTTTGGTAAACTTAACATCAGTAACTTCACAGGCGCAAGGACCTGTTTTAGAATACAATAAGCATTATATGCAAGTCTTAGCATTACTTATAATTAACGGGTACTTGAATTATAAGACTAAATTATGACTCCAAGTGATCCTATACATCAGCTTTATCAATATGCATATTGTTGAAAACTAGCTCAATTGGATGAAATAATATTATTTAGCATGCTATTGTGTGATTAAATATACACGATCCTACTTGACATACACACTCATCAGGATACCTAAACAAAATAAAGATGAGAAAAAAAAACAAGTAACTTGAAAATCTCAATAAATTTCAATATAAATGGAACACCATAAAATTCACAAACTTGAGCCTAATCATATTAATATTGTACATATACTATTAAGAATAAAAAATACATTACAGATTTTGCTCCGGTTGTTGTTAAGCACAAACCTCCCTGCACAATGCCCTATCTGTGGTCTATCCACCAAAATATTGAAACCCGAATTTCAGTGTCATAAGCCTACAGATCTTCCACTGAGCCCGATGGGGGATGGGGTGGGCGCAGTAAAAGAAACGAATATTTGGAGTAAAACATGTACATTTCTCAAACTATCAAACTTCGATTTTCAGTTGGTAATGTACTTGGAATTAATTGAATCCTTTTAACACTATTACCGGTAACGCAATCATGTTCATTTTTTAATTTTATTTTTAGGTGCAAATGTTATCTAGGTATAACAGCTTGAATATCTGTCTCCAATAGATTTATACTCAGGTTACAGTCGAAAGCTAACCCAAATAGTGAGCTCTTAATTGTGTGAACACCCACCAGTCACCACCTACAATTATATTTTGTGCAGATCTCGCATGGCCTGGTGTTAGGGTGCTCGACTCGCAATCTGCATGTCGCGGATTCGAATCACATCTCCGAACATGTTAGCGCATTATAATCTCACTATTCGATTAGAGTAGCCCAAGAGTTGGCGGTGGGTGACGTTGACTAGCTGCTTTCCTTCTTGTCTATCCCTTCTATATTAGGAACGACTAGCGCAAGTAGTCCTCGATTAGCTCTTCGTGAAATTCAACAAAACAGACATATTTTTTGTGCATTGTGCTTCTATCAGTTGGAGTTTTTGTAGATAAACTTCACTGCCACTTTCTAGTCAGCAATAAAGAGATGAACACATTCTGAAAGAATTTGAAAACATTTTTCATAGATTTGAGGAATTTCTCAGCTTTCTCACTATAGAATCCATTATCCCGATAAAGTATAGTAAAGCAGGGTCGCAAGGGAAGTGCCGTCTACTCACTTCACGTGCAAGGGAAGCGCCGCTCCCATATTTCAAATGCACATTATTTCCTGAATTGCTTTCTTATACATTCAAATGTTGACTGGTGATTATGTTTCTAATATAAACGCTTTATACGAAATGAAGTTTTTATCCTTAACTGAAAAATTTGACTTTGCATGTACTGCTGCTTTACAATAGTGTACCTCAAGCAATGATTTTTCTGAATTTTTAATTATTTAGTAACCACGGTAACCATAATAAATATTATTTTTGATAACCAGCTGTCCCCTCTTCTAAATTTAGCATTACATCGCTGCTTATAATACAAACTAACTCAACATGATTTTCCTGTTTGTGTGAATTATTTGACCACCCACCCTGGGGGAAGGAATATTTGACTAAAACCAATCTGCCTTAGTTTGAACAACTAAGTGTTTTAAAAAATATTGAAAATGTATTACCTTGTAGCCAGGTTTGCGTGTTTTAATGCTGTTATGGGACTACTGATCCTACTTAGAGTTGTCATAGGCAGAATTAACTGAATATATGTTAAAAACAGTGATTTTTATTGTCGTTGGAGTGATTGCCTCAGGATTCGGGAAATATCTAAACTAAAATAACAGTCTTCTATTCAGATAAGTTAAAAACTTCATTTGCAGTGTGATATGCATTGTATACACACTAATTATCTTCAGGGTTCGGCAATTCGCAGTGTCCAGGGCAATGTTTTTCACCTCCATGTCCATGCTAGACTTTTGGAAATGTACGTGTTGTGAGTGTCAATTATACAAAATGAATAATTCTAAAAAAAATAATGAAGTTAGTTATACAAGTGTATTGTTGCATGAAATTTTATTCTTAATATCCCAGCATGTTAAGGCGTGTGTTTAAATAATTAAGTTTAGGTAATGAAATATGTATGTGTCATTATGAACCAAACATAATATATGTTTCAACCATCGCAATACAAGGCAAGTCGAAAGAAAATTGGTACATGCTACAATGAGTATTTTTTGAAGTTTTTTCACGATAATACAGATCATCCATCCCCAAGAATAATAAGTTTTAAAAACATTATCGGACAACATTTAATTCACTAGATGCGGAAGCCGGGTGTATCAGTTTAACTCATCCTCTGTTGTAAGAGTGCTAATTCATTTGATTCATCGCCCTTACGAAACTGGCTATTAAATATTGTGAACGTGAGTCAGTAAGT